ATATTTTTATTGGTTGATTTTGTTCGGTTTTCATTTGGTCAATTAGGATTAGAGATAATAGCAAAAGACAAATATCTTTCGTTCAAACGTCTTACCGTGTTCTTTGGCGTTGCATTTATCACTATTTTTTTCTTCACTCGCGTTGAGTTTTCAATTTCGAGAAGCTCTTTCGAATGTGCAGCTGAACAATTTCAGGGCTTTCTACAGATGTGCAATAATGTCGTGAGATTGTCGTTTTAAACACGTCATTTTCACTTTTCTTGTCAAAGTTACAGTGTTGCCAGATGGGTTCACCTAATATGGTCAACCCTGCACATGCTCGTGGCTCTTTTTGCAAGCATATTAGCTTCTATCCGGCATATATTATTCATAAAAAATATTTGCAATCTGAAATTAATTTTAAATTGAGTAATGTTTTTAAAAAAGTCTAGTACCTAAAATGATGTATTTTGTTGTATTGTATATGATTAACTACTTACGCTTCTCAAGTATGGCTACGATTTTTCGAAATAATTACAAATATTTTTTTATACTTAATATTAAAGAAGTTTTACTAACACTTTTTACGGGAAAAGCATATCCTTACCAGTTGTGTAAGTTCAACAGATTCTAAAGAAAGATTTTATACATAACAAATAAAATATTTTCCATAGACTTTGTTGAAATGTGTTTATATTTGCTTCGGAAATCTGCCTACCGCTTTCAAATCTATTTTAAATCAGTTTTAGCAGTAACTTACTAGTTATATGTTCACCGCTCTGTTTTTTATATCTCACTTATTATGTATATTTTTTAACCACTTCAGTGAAATTATGTTATTAGCCACTTTAGGCTTAAAAGATTCTCAGATGCATTCATTTATTGGTGCAACGTATTAAAGCAGCTCAACAACAATCACCACAATTTGTTTTTCTTCCTGTGTAGATGGAGTTGATCGTGTTACTGGATGAAGGATGAACTTGCATAAATAAATCATTTTTACGACTAAGCTTCAGCAGTGTAGTAGCTACACGTAGTACAGTCCATGCAATATGCGCCAAGTGTGAACTACTTAAAGATATTTTTTATTGATGCTTTGAAATTGAGGAATTGAGAAGTTGAGGAGTTGAGAAGTAGTGCATATATGGAAGCCACAATTGATATAAAATTATTTAATCTGCTTAGAGCTGATTTTGCAGTGTAAAGGAAGTGGTAATTTACTGATCAGAGATTTTCAAATTATTATACTAAAACATTCATCTATGAAATCGATGGAAATTAATCGATTTTTTTATATTAACACATTGAGAAAATTTTATTTATATAAACCATACTATTAAAAAAAAGCAAAAAAAAAAAAATAACTTTGATATAAGACCAGTTGATCGAAAGGATAACAAATCAATTCTTAATAATTAATTCATTTAATGAATATATTTAGTCTGAAGAATAACCAAGGCAGTAATTTAACATGAATTAGGCACTTGTAAACACTCTTTTATTTTTTCACTTAAAAATAAAAAGTAAATTGCTATGAAATTAGCACTAACTCGTTGGAAAAGCGTGATTCTCTTCCTATTATCAATCAATCAATTACTTAATAACTACTATGTGTATATAATTGAAATCATGTAATATTTATTTCAATTCATCATTCTTTATTGACTAGAATTATAGAGAGATACAACTTATATAATAAAAAGTTTTTATTTTATGAATTACATACATATTGGTATGTCTATATAAAAGTGTTTAATATTAAGTATTTTAAACGATGCTTAATAACAAACTTAATAAATCTACTCTAAAAATTAAAAATGAAAAGCAATGAAACTTGAAAAGTTGAATACCTTCGAACTGAAAGAGTTTACAAAATAAATGCATATAACTCCAAAGACTGATTCCCTAGATGCGTCCCTAGCGGTACCGGATTATGTTACCTTACCCTAACAGAAGTGCTTACCTTTACTTTCTTTAGCTCGCCAGACTGCTCAGAAGACACTGGATAACATGACCCGTCTACAAGAAGACAAGATCGTGTGAATACTACGAGATATACTGCAGTTCTTTCTGGTCATTGAGGGATGTGTATCCCTCATAATCGTAACTGCAGAAGTTGTGGAAAACTGCAAGAAAAAAAAATCAGTCAACACTTTCACTTTGAATGCCATTTGAATGGTGTTAGCTTTAATAAGAAATAGATTTTTAGGAAGGTGTTTCTTTGACAGCTTATTAGACTGTTTATCATTAAAGACGAGAGACCCTTTAAATTATATAAATACGATGGGATAGATTTTGTCTGTATTCTTCTGTTGTTCCTAGGTCAATTTTCTTTATATATTAGTTAACTTGGTTAAGTTTTCTGGACTATAGCGGTTCAAGTGATTATCGGTTTAAAAACTGGAAAATCAGAGAATTGATTCTCTTTTATTGTTTGTTTTTTATTTAAGTTTGATCACCTATTTTGTTGTAGAGGTGAACTTTGTGACTGATAAAATAGTAAAAAGATGATACTTTATCGACCGAAAATAATTTTTCTCATAGGCAAATTTGACATGGTAAATTATCTTGGTATTATGCTTGAAGCAAAAAGACGATGTATGGTCCACGTTGTGAAAAAGAAAACTAGAACTTGATCAAATATACATTAAAATTAGTTATTTTATTAGTTTTAAGTCTTAATTGCCAATCTATAATAAATTGCTAAAATAAATAATTAGAACCATATGAATGTAGTGTATATAATTGTGGTGATCAACAAATGCACCGAATCACTATTCAACGTTTCAGTATGATGTATTGCGAAGGGTAGTAAATACAACGTTCTATGCCAGTCCCTACGATTTTTATCATGATCTATCATGAACAACAACATGGCGTTAGAATATGACAAAGTCCACGAAGCGCTAGAACTATATTACGTCAACATTGTTTTTAAAGAACTGCGCAACGATGATGACTAAAAAGTACCACTGCCTCAGATTTTTTTTATAGCAATTAGTACACATTTTAATGTTTTTATTTTTTCATGTCTATGTAGTGTATGTTATATTGGAGATAATTTTTCTTTCGGTACTATTAAAAAAATTGAAAGTAATACTCGTAATATCATTATAGAGGTTTTCGTTTAAAAAAAAATCACTTCTTAGTACATATTTTATATATCCACTAGTTAAAAGTATAAACTAGTGATTTAGTTGTAACGACACAAATTTACAAAGTAAATTTCTGTGCTACATAAAACAAGAAGCAGAGAAAAACACAGTCTGTGTGTTAAATAAACCGCCACCACTACACATAATATATTTATTAACTCACGTGAAAATAACTGAAGTAGGCTTAGCTGGAAAAAACCATAAAATTGAATTAAAATGTTATTCAACATATCATGGACATTACCTGTGATCCTCGAAGCCAACGTGCCGCGGGCATCGATACATGTGCAGAATCTAAAATATACGAAAAATTTAATTTGTTTGTTACAAATTTTATGAATGAAAACAAAATTTGTAAAGAAATTCTAAACACAACAACACTGAACACTTATTACAGAAAACACGTTTAATTATTGAACAAATATCTATTTGAAATATATATAAATAAAATAATACACAAAACAATTTAACATTCATGTTTGTACAATTTTATTTTTTATACACGTAAACAAAACAAACTTCGGCAGCAACTAAGCACATCAACGCTAGTTTTTTCTATTTACTAATTTACTTCTTTTCTTTCCACATTTAGATAATATTAAATTCACAAAATATATATGTATATTTAATACCTAGTTTTGTATTATTAATACACTTTATTTTTTAATAATAAAATATAAACTAAAGAGGAATAACACACGAAATAAATAAACACGGCGCGTAGTAAAAGTACTAAAAAAATCACGGCGAAGCAGAAGAAGTGAGAAAACAGTAGAACACAAAGTTCAACTTCACGGCGAAGTCAAGTACAGCAAAGAATACCGGTACGCTACACCAAAAAGCTTCGGTATGCTCAATATAAAAGGAGGCACATTTTATATAATCGGGGACTTGGTTTGCGACAAGTGAAAGAGCAAGTACTCTGGCTCATTGGGCCTTCTGGTAAATTTTACCAAACTTGAAATTTTACTTTTCCTGAAACAAGTACACTGGCCTATTGGTCATCTGGCACATTGTGCCACAAATCTGGTTCTTTGAGTCAAACATAGTGTAAAATTCCTTTCCTGTCTTATATGTATATTTTTTAACCTGGCCTATTCGGTCAAATAGTTTTTACAGCACGGAGGAAACGTTTTGTTTATTTTTTTTACAACAGCAGAGGGGCTTAAGAAGTCACACGGGTTTTGCTAAGATTCTTTTAACAAGGAGTATATGGAGAAGTGGGAAATTTTGGCATCAACATAATTTTTTTTTATTTATTATTAGAAATGTTTCCAATGAATTTTAATTAAACTTTGTTAATCATAAGTTTTATGAAATAAATAAAGTTTTATATATAATTTATACATATAAATCACGTTCTGTTTTCTTCTAAAACCAACGTCTCGGCAAAATTATAAATATATTGTCACGACTCTGGACGACGGCTGAGGATACCCCAGCAAAAACTAAAAATTTTTGAACGTCACCAAAAGTGTCGTTACAATTGGCGCCCGAGCAGGGACGTGGTTTTGGAAAAGAACGAACGTTGAACAGGGACCTGGTTTTAGAAAAGAACGAACGTTGAACAGGGACGTTGTTTTAGAAAAGAACGAACGTTAAACAGGGACGTTGTTTTAGACAAGAACGAACGTTGAACAGGGACGTTGTTTTAGAAAAAAAAGAACACGATAGGAACATGGAGAACAGTGGACAAACGGTTAACGAGGAAAGTCATTAGAACACGGGTACAGGGAAATCGGAAGCCACGGCTTAGAATTGCGAATCTTTAAAACAGGAACAGTGAAAGAGTTCGTTCGACAAACAGAGCAGTGCATCATCACAAGAGAAGGTCTTGATCAAAGTCACGAGAGGAATTAATATACAATGCCTTCGTATATTGAAAGCCTGGACCAAATAGCTGACTGGTCAGTACGTTATAACGGCAAAGGAAATCCATTAGACTTCGTGGAAAGAATAGAAGAGCTATCAGAAATCTATGACATCGACTTAAATATAGTCCCAAGGATGATGACCATACTCCTTAAAGATTGGGCAGCAATGTGGTACCGTAATAACAATAAACGTTGGACCCTTTGGTCAAGCTTCAAGGCAGACTTTTTAGAATTTTTTCTTCCATATGATTATTACGAAAGATTAGCAGAACTTCGTACAGAGCGAGTTAAAACAAGTCGAAGTCAGGTACAGGAAGCGATCAGTCATCGCCTGATAAGTAAACACTCAGAAGCGACGTCATTACCAAATACCACGAAATGTATGCCAACTACAAGAACAGGGCAGCACGTTGATTACAGTGTGAATCTGGAGCCACATGGACCACAAAACAAGAAAAGTTACCAACAACAGAGTAGTTTCAAAGTTAAGCAAACAACAATACGAATAAACACCATTAAAACGGCAACGACACCATTATTATCCAAGTCAACCATGATACCAAGCATGCAACGGCAAAGTAATCTAGCTCAACTCTCAGTAACATCGCAAGTAAATATGCAGGAACCACAACCTCTACATTGTTCGAAACTCATCAAAGAAAGTCCGAAAGTCCAACCACAACAGGATGTAACGCGAAAAGAACCACAACCCGTCGAAGAAAGTCCACAGGTGCTAGACGCACAACCACACTCAGTACCACTACAGGGAAAACCACAAAAGGAGGCAATTCATAAATGCATCGTAACCCCTCCACAGATTTCAACGTCTCATAGGGAAAGTCCAGAAGTATGTTATCAACAAGCATATGCACAACAATCGCTAGTTAACTACAATCAGAATACGCAACCACGAGAGCAAAAGCATCAACTCGAAGAGCATGACTTATCATCACGTCCAGCACTGCCACAACGTTTAATGATAGTACCGGAGTCATCACATGTCAATCATCCAGTACTACCAACTTCTACAAGTTCAGAATCATCATCGCAAACGCCACAGGGGCATTCACAAGGTAATTTTAAATCATCATCACAAAAGCCACAGGGGCATTCACAAGGTAATTTTAAATCATCATCGCAAACGTCACAGGGTCATTCACAAGGTAATTTTAAATCATCATCGCAAAGGCCACAGGGTCATTCACAAGGTAATTTTAAATCATCATCGCAAAGGCCACAGGGGCATTCACAAAGTAATTTTAAATCATCATCGCAAACGTCACAGAGTCATTCGCAAGGTAATTTCAAATCATCGTTACAACCAAAAGAACTTGAGCCGCAGCCGCCATCTTCGGTTAATCAACCACAGTCACCACGAGGAGCACCACCAAGAGATAATCACCAATCTGGTCAACCATCATCTTCGTCATCAACTACATCGCTACAGAGGAATTCTACTATAATACAGCCAGTATCGGATAATCGTCATGTACAACTTACGAATTCATTAGGTCCATTAGTTATCAATGTTTCAGATAGTAAACTTAACACGGAACTACCAAGCCAGGGAACTCAAGCAAAGGGTACAATCAAGCATGACAGTCAACAAGAACCATGGTCACCACAAGAGAAATTGAACGTCATTAAACCAAGCACAAAAGGAAACAAGCCAGAGATTTTCGTACAACGTCTAGGTACATTTAAACGAAAGGATGACCATCCTCAGGTCAGCAACCAAGATGAGTATTACAAAATTTTCAAGTGTCCAAAGATTAGAAAGAGAAATCGAGCCTCGTTCTAAAAGGAATATTAGTAACACAAGTATTAGCATGTATCATATGGAAAATAAGGGATAAATGGAAGATTAGAAATATCAAGTGCAAATTAGCCGAAGAGGGGTCATCAACGTATCATTAAAATAAAGTTTTAGTTTAATTTCTGTTCTGAAGAAGGAGGGAAATGTAACGACACAAATTTACAAAGTAAATTTCTGTGCTACATAAAACAAGAAGCAGAGAAAAACACAGTCTGTGTGTTAAATAAACCGCCACCACTACACATAATATATTTATTAACTCACGTGAAAATAACTGAAGTAGGCTTAGCTGGAAAAAACCATAAAATTGAATTAAAATGTTATTCAACATATCATGGACATTACCTGTGATCCTCGAAGCCAACGTGCCGCGGGCATCGATACATGTGCAGAATCTAAAATATACGAAAAATTTAATTTGTTTGTTACAAATTTTATGAATGAAAACAAAATTTGTAAAGAAATTCTAAACACAACAACACTGAACACTTATTACAGAAAACACGTTTAATTATTGAACAAATATCTATTTGAAATATATATAAATAAAATAATACACAAAACAATTTAACATTCATGTTTGTACAATTTTATTTTTTATACACGTAAACAAAACAAACTTCGGCAGCAACTAAGCACATCAACGCTAGTTTTTTCTATTTACTAATTTACTTCTTTTCTTTCCACATTTAGATAATATTAAATTCACAAAATATATATGTATATTTAATACCTAGTTTTGTATTATTAATACACTTTATTTTTTAATAATAAAATATAAACTAAAGAGGAATAACACACGAAATAAATAAACACGGCGCGTAGTAAAAGTACTAAAAAAATCACGGCGAAGCAGAAGAAGTGAGAAAACAGTAGAACACAAAGTTCAACTTCACGGCGAAGTCAAGTACAGCAAAGAATACCGGTACGCTACACCAAAAAGCTTCGGTATGCTCAATATAAAAGGAGGCACATTTTATATAATCGGGGACTTGGTTTGCGACAAGTGAAAGAGCAAGTACTCTGGCTCATTGGGCCTTCTGGTAAATTTTACCAAAACTTGAAATTTTACTTTTCCTGAAACAAGTACACTGGCCTATTGGTCATCTGGCACATTGTGCCACAAATCTGGTTCTTTGAGTCAAACGTAGTGTAAAATTCCTTTCCTGTCTTATATGTATATTTTTTAACCTGGCTTATTCGGTCAAATAGTTTTTACAGCACGGAGGAAACGTTTTGTTTATTTTTTTACAACAGCAGAGGGGCTTAAGAAGTCACACGGGTTTTGCTAAGATTCTTTTAACAAGGAGTATATGGAGAAGTGGGAAATTTTGGCATCAACATAATTTTTTTATTTTATTATTAGAAATGTTTCCAATGAATTTTAATTAAACTTTGTTAATCATAAGTTTTATGAAATAAATAAAGTTATATATATATAATTTATACATATAAATCACGTTCTGTTTCCTTCTAAAACCAACGTCTCGGCAAAATTATAAATATATTGTCACGACTCTGGACGACGGCTGAGGATACCCCAGCAAAAACTAAAAATTTTTGAACGTCACCAAAAGTGTCGTTACATAGTATTAAGTAACATTAATAAAGAGAAGAAAAAATTATAATTGGTTTGATTTTGCACAAATTTTATAACTGAATCACGACTTTCAAGTTATTCTGGATTGAAAGAACTTCAATATTACTTCAACGGTCAAAATTTGAAACGGAGTCTGTCACAATTAAATCTGAATATGGATATATATCGTTTATTCTCTTTGGATCTTACTAAAATGAACTGCAGTGATCGGTGTCTAATCATGCTACTTTCTAAAGAATTTAGACATATTAAGATAATGATGACTGTGGTTAACTTTTCTAAATCCTTGACATATTTACATATTATATATGTGACTAAAGCTGCTCAACATTATTACATTGTCAAAAAAAGAAAACAAAAACATTTTGTCTATTTAATTCTATATAGAGTTCAGTATACAGTATCTTTTTTAGAATATATCTGAGAAATATCATTTTGAATATTTGGGTTTAAATGAGACAGGTAATGCACTAAAATTTTCAATTTTTTTTTGGGATGCGTTAAAGAATGAACTTAATTACTATCATTATAGCTCCATAATGATAATTATTGTTTCATAGTAAAAATAATTATTAGTTTTATTTTATTGATGCCTTTAATAGAATTATCACTTGAACATTCAATTAGAAATCTTTCTACTTACCAATTGTGATTTCGAGAATTTCAATTGGAAATCTTCCTATTTTCCTTACACATACTAAATAATCTTTTTTACTTTCATGATCATAATTTTTGAACACAATAATTTTTATATGATAGCAATATCTTATTATTTTACAAATGCCTTTGTTAAGTTCTTAAATAAATTAAATGGGTGTGCTAAAATCAACAATTATGAATAATAAATTATACAACGATATATAAAGAGTATTAAATTTTTATGATAATTTAAATTTAATTATTTATTCAGCACAAAATAATAACTAATGTTCCATTTTTTTAAACGTTAATAATCTCAGAAAAGTGATAAAAATGTGAAACTGTACCTCTGAATGCTTTCATACATATATCTCTTAGTTATTCTAAATGCATTTGAGTCGAAATTATTTGGAGAAAGTGAAACTATCAGGAAATGTCAGCCACGAGCCAGATACCTCATGTGGAAGTATGTCAAACTTTTTATTAAGCTTTAACCGAAAATTGAAAGCAGAAATTGCACCAATTGCGAAGTGAAGGTTAAGTGTAAGCAATTTCATGGTTAACCAACTAATTTAATCCTTTGACCAAAACTTAATTGACTTGGCTAAATTGCAAAGAGGCAAAAATACGCCAATGATTAGAATGCGTACTAAGTGCATGATCAGTCAAGAAAGAAATAGGAGAAACTATAATTTAAGCGAAATACAAGCAAAATTGTTAAAAATGAAATTAAAAAAGTTAGCACGAGTCTCTGCAGGATACGCTGAATCATTTCTTGCACCAATGATGGACAAGCATTTAAAAATTGATTATGTTGTCACTGGTCATGCCTTAGGGTATTTCATCAACGTTTTATTGTGGAATGCCAAATGGAATAGTACTGCGAAGGCACTTAAGTGGATTTTAATTAATATGCGGTAAAAAGTAAACGCATTCAGTACAAGGGATTCTATATTTTAACAGACATTCACAGCTTTGGTATCTGCAGATACCAGATACATGTATAGTTACAACATACATATATGCGCTTTCCATAAATCTAATTTGTAGCTGGGTAAGCATCAAGTTGCTGTCCACTAACCGAAATGAAGTTAAGTTGTGAATGTGAAGTGTGACTAATTTAATTATTTGCACTAATTTAGCTGTCTTTTAAGACAAACTCAAATGACTGAACACGTAATTCAGTTGCAATTTAAAACAAATTTGATGAATACTGACAAAAAAATTATACTAATAATTTGCTAAATTACCAACACAATAAACATTATAAAATTGATTGAGGCAATAATAATATTCTTCTGACTAAAATAATTTATATATATACAGTATCACAATGGGCCAATAGGCCTAAGTGGATCCACTAGGGATCACCGGTATAACCTAATCTAACCTAAAATAATCTTTACATTAAGAGATATATTTTTGAATATCTGAAATAAATATATAAAAAACTATCTATTCATTAAGCAATGTTTATTGTTTTAATAGATTTTATATGGTTTGATCCTTAGAATAATAATCAATTTACTAATGTTTGTTAGAAATCATAAGAGAAGGTACTTAACATCAACTAATTCACAAAGTCAACTCACAAAGTAATTACTTAAGTTAATCAGTAAATTGTATTCAAATTGAATAACATATTTAATATTTCGGCTGTCATAAAATAAAATAATTTATTATTCATTAAAATAAACGAATTTATTTAAAATTTAAGCCGAACCTGTAGTTAATTAACTTATGGAAAAATTATTAAATTATTAAGTTTAGTTTTCCAAAAAGTTTGACAGCGATAAATGCATTCTATAAAAAATAAGAAACAGAAATTCTGGACAACGTAGTGAACGTTTCAAAACTCACAGCATTTGACTAGTAAAAAACAGAGCAAAATAAATACCAGAACAACGTAGCAAGTTATGTTTGAGCACAAAATTCTGTTGTGATAATAAGAGTAAATTCAAATAGTAGAGCAATATTTACTTGTAAGTCTATTAGGTAGGTAGTTATTTTAAATGGACAGTTGAAAGCTTAGCTGATGAGCAAGTACTCTTTGGCTTCTTATATTTGGTAATATTATAATATTTGGTAATGTTTCTTGTGAAATATAACATACTAGCTAAACTAGATCCACTGAACTCAATTTATGTAACTTAACAGATATAATAAAATGATAAATGATTAGTGATAAAATGAACTCACCGGCAATAAATTATTTTTCTAGAAAATAATAATATTAATGTTAAATAATACTAGGCAATCACTAAAAGGCTATGTTTTTGTTTCGTTTTTGTCTAGGCTACTATAACTTATAAAAAAGGTGTTGAAAAAACTGCTCAGTTTTTCTGTGACGGCTTCGACTTCCCAGTCATTTGAAATAACTTCAATTAGTCCATTAGTATTGTCGTCCTTGTTAATAAGATTCCTGGACTTGATCTAACTGTACGAATTGCCCGGAATTTTATGCATTTTTTGAGTGCCTTCATCTACTATTACCCAGCTGCAGAAAGAAGAGCTACTTGCACACAGACAATATACAGATTAAGCGAACACGTGCTGAAAGTAGTGGAACACAGGAGACCTAGTTTCAGCATATGTTTGTGCATCTCCTTTAACTACCTTCAAGAAGCTTATTCTGATATCAATATTCTTATTCTGAAAAAATATGCTATGAATGCATGTCGACCTAAAAGATCTATTGTGCGCCTAAATGCTCAACTAAAATACTTCTAGACTATTTAGAAACCTCGTAATTACTATGGGGTTAAATTTATCCACTGAATTTAGTACCAAGACCCTGCTTCCAAGGTAGGTAAGTCTGCATCTTGCCGCTGTTGAGCAGTTCCATAGAATATGTTCTGATGTTTCTTTCTCCTCATGACAGAGTCGACAGAAATCATTTTTAACCGCACCTATATTCTTCATGTGCGATTGAGTCTACAGTGTTTTATAAAATAAAAATGATGAGATTGGCTAACAGAAATAGAATTGTCTACCATCATGATAATGCCAAGCCTATTACATCTTTCATAACTCGAAACAAGTTTAACTTGATTCAGAGTTTGAACCGGTCCACCATAGAGCCCATTTCTTGCATTGACGTAGTATTTGTTTTAGTCCTTTCAAATCTCTCTTATTGGTGGGAAATTGGTTGGCCGAAGAGCTGTTGAATAATCATTTGTCCAAATTTTTCGCCGACAAACCACAGAAGTGTTACCTCGAGCAAGTAATGAAGCTACCTGAAAAATGGTAGTAGGTCATAAATAATAAAGCCAATATATTAATGTATTTAAATGAAATGAAATATCAATTAAATGCAATTAAAATTTTTTTTCAAAACTGTATTCAAAAGGACGGATACATTTAATATCATGCATTTTCACGTATTCATTAAGAAAAATTAATAGATACAAATATGTATGCAACCTGAAATGTTATTGGTTAGTACAATATCATTAATATATTAATATCTTGTATCATTCATCAATGTTAAAGGAACAATTAATAACAATATGTACTATAATTAAAATAGTATTTGAACTTTTATTCAAAAAGATAATTTCTTAAAATTTGATTGATATTTCTAATCGTACTGACCAACATCGAACAAATTATACTAAATATTAATGCCTTTTGGCAATATCAGTAATTACTTCTATGAGAGACAAATAGGCTAAGTAACAAGAAATAATGTGAATTGAAGAATTTACAACAAAATATAATAAAATATAAAATATAAATCGAAAAATCTTTGCATTCATCATAATCACAAGTTAGAAGCATTAAAATTCCTTAAGCATGCCAGCAACATTAATGTAATTATAAACTTGTTATGTTGCATGCATTTATGGTAGAGCAAACGTGCAACATGCCACATCATATGAGCAGCAACGGCAGTGATGTGCAATCACAAAAACGCCAAATAGTTGACATGTGAAGTTTTTGCGATTGCTGAATGCAAAGTGCAGTTTGTAATTTAATAGCCTACAAGTTTTCTAAAGATATTCTTCTAAGAATTGCCTATAAATAGAAATTACGGGGGGAAAATCACACTTAAATGCTTTAAAGTATTTAACAATTTGTAGAGACATTTTTCAAGTATTATTTATATTTCATTTACGATTTGCAAGACAGCGCTACTGTACTATTATTGTCTATCATAAAATAGCTAAAGTGATAATTTTAAATATTTGTTGTAAAGAACTTTAAGTATTTTGCAATTTTCTTATGAAAACTAATATGGGTCAAATTAATTTAAAGTAGTGAAAGCTAAATAAATATTTATTATTATGAAATATGGATTTTTAATGACAAAAAACTTTTAACATAAATCTTAATAATTGGAAATGACTTTATCACCGCTGGGTATAGTCAAATCATGAAAGGGTGTCATAAATGATGAGATTCATCAGAGTCAAAGAACATAAAAAATTTTTTTATATTTTTATATTTTAAATATTTCAACTGCAAATTTTCACTGAAGAGATTGCTTTTCAAGTGACGATAAAAATTTCATAAAAAAAAATTTAAGTAATGTTGCCATATTTGGTTTGTTTATAAAGGATTTCATTTATATTTCTTCCAACTATTTGTTTATTTCACTATTAACCTAGTTTTTGAAGATTTAGTTTTTGTTCATAAGATTTTTAATTATTAATGATCAATTAATGATCATTAGACATAAGATATGGAACTTGTTATGTTTATAACCTTTAAACCGAAAGTCGGGATTCTTATTTTATTATGAAGTTCTACAAAAAAGACAAGTTGAACGTAACCTTTAAATAGAAAGTTCCGAGTGAACTGCGTGATAAATTTAAATAGTGCAGGTCCGCTACTACAGTAATCTCCCCTATAAAACGGTAGGTTAGTTCCGCGTTATAGGAGCATTCCCGTATACCTCGTACACACACGTGCAAAGGTGCGCGAAGCTAATTATAAACTGTACACATCCCCGCGTTATATGGGGGAATATAACACGGGCGTTATACGGGGGATTGAAATCGCATAATATGAAAACGCGTTATGAGGGTACAGCGTTATAGTGGGGACTATTGTATACATTAATTATAGCTCTGCTGTACCATACTTCGTCATTTCCTTAGACTATTAATTTCAGTTCGTCTCTCTCTCTCTCTCATCTCATACTCTTCTACCAGTAGATCATCGGGCCTCTAATTTTAGTTAATGCTTCAAAGTGAATTCTAGCAAAACATTGATTGGGTGAATATGTCATCTTCGTAAGATTATAATATAATTAATAATGTCATATAATATTATTTATATAAACAAATTTTATTTTAATTATATATATTTACTTTCTATGTCCATAATACTGCACACATTATCAACTTCTATTAAAATATCTATATATTTTTTGTTTTGGTTTTTTTTTTTTGGTTTTTATTCCGATGTCAATAAACACATTATTTTACTGCAATTTGCGGAAATGTGAAAAGTGAAATATAAGATACATCCCAGCATCTCGACTTTCTAATACTCGTAATTTATTTATTTTCTCATTATAGAGCATGTATTTTTAATTGAAGATTATTAAATGGAACGCAAAAGTGTATCTGAGCAAAATTACCCTCATTTTGTATAACGAAAAGTGCAGCAGAGACGTATATGTAAAATTGTTGACACTCATCTGGCTTGAATGTGCATCTTCAGCACGTATCGTTTTCAGCAGTCAGCAATGTGGCAAAAACAAGTTCACAAGTTTTCAGCAACAACAGCAGCAACAGATGATGATGCGTTTTCGATTAGAAGGAAAATATGCTGTTGCCACATATGTTGTTGTGGTTGTCATTGAAATGGCAACTGCTGCCTGTTGCTATTGTTGTTGTTTTGTTGTTGGCTTTGCTCTTGTCAATGCTGATTATTGTTAGCAACACTTTCATGCTATAAAATATCTTTGTTGT